TCTGAGGCGATGCTTCGTAAGGTGTAACCCGCTTCCACAGTTTCCTGATAAAGTGTTATGTATTTTACAATACCATTTGCTATTTTTGTTCAGTTCTGCCCTTTGCAACGACGCACAACAAACAACGTAGGCTCATATATCGAGATGGATGAAGAAAAGCAATCATGCTAAGCAATAATGCAGTTGGAAAATATTCATATTTTTGAAAGGTTTCAACGTTTGAAGCCGTAGCGTACCACCCAAACAAACCCACATTTCTTCGCGATTAGAGCTTACGATTGGGGATCGAACCCTGCGCACTTGAGCTCGCTCGTACCGTAATATCCTGTCGATGGGACGCTCTGGTAACTGTAATATCAGCCCACCCATCGGAGGCCCTATCAGGTGGAGACGCGACCGGCCTATCGAACTCGGCGGCCGCGGCTCCGGAGGTGGACGGGGGGGGGGTGAAGCCCCACCTTCGCCCTGTGACCTTCTGGTGACCTTTAGCGGCACCACAGCGTCACATGTGGCAGCTGCCACCCCCTACCCCGTCCCTGCCTCCTACACCGTCAATAGCACCCAGGTATAGCACGTTCTGTGCTGGCGCAAGTGTTAGCTGTACCCAGATTCGTGACGGAACAGTCATAGAAATGCCTGACGGAACTTGATTGGATAAAAACAGGATCAGATGGAGCTGAAATCGGTCGGCTTAGAACCGTTTTTGCTACTTCCAAGATCTTTGATGAACGGGAAACGTCAACTAGCCTTATATCTGTGACAGAGGTCTTTGCTTGCATGCTGATATACAACTAATATAGCCGGGACAAAAGATAGCAGTGTTTTCATAAGACTTAAGCAAGAATGCATGTCTAAATCAATATGTCGAGCACACCAGAATTCCTCTTTGCTCCTGTGCTATTTATTTACGCCTTAGTATTCGAAAGTAACTCTGTAAAGTCTCTGCCACGCTGTAGTCGAGGTCCCTTGACAACAGTCGCCTCTTGCCCTCCCTGGAACCGAGATCACACATCCTCCACTTGTGTTGCTGACAGCGAGAGTCGCCTTTCAGCCTGATCATTAACGCTGCGTCGCTCTCGGCGTTCACGGGCTGTGGAGCACGCCGAGCGTGATACAACTTCAAACGGATCCGTGTCACGGCCGCAGGCCCCGAGGGCACGGACTTGACCCGCGCTGTGTAGCGCCTGGATGATTTAGTGTGCAGAGCGGAATGGGCATTGGGCATGGGTGTTGATCACACTGTCATAGCGCTGCATGAAATGCTAATTTATGGTTGAGACTTTTGGCGGAAAAATAACGTTGTCACGCTCACGGGTGTGGCCTGGACGGGCTATTTTGAAGTCTCCTATGAATGATAAACTATGAAATTTAGATCTGCCAACTCGTTTGTGGTTGATCCACTGCATTTGGATTGAAAGCTGATGTGGATTGGTATGTGATACAGCATGGGGAATAAATTATTTGATGACAATTGCTAACCTACTTACATACCGATATCGGTCTTCGCAATGTAAGATCACGCCTTTTCTCTTTCAACCATTTGGTTCTCTTCGAACCAAGAAGTGTTATTACGCCGTTTACCTCTATCGGAACAGTTCTCCTCCCTGGCTGCTAATTTCTACAGCCGTTACCTATTGATTTTCTGAGGTGCTTGCTCTCTGAAATCTTCATTTAAAAGGTCACGGAAATGCAGTGCTCTGAATCGTCTGAGATGCTCCACCGTGACGGCGGAAGTGAGGATATCTTCATTTATCGGTTCGTGGGAAAGCTCTTAGACTTTACTGTATCAAATACCCGCCTGGATACTGGCAGTTCCTGGAACACTGGGCATAATAAATTATGTAGGGTGAAGTACCAGTCCAAAGGTGAAGAGTTGAAGGAAAAACTGCCTGCAACCTAAATGAAAGTCTTTTGCTCAGAATCGTCACTGAAATCATATCAAATTTAAAAGGCCACGTTTACGTGGCATTTCTGGCATTCCTTTCCAGCCTGCAACTGTGAACTGAAACGTTACTGCAGCTGTTTGTTTGTCGGCCTTGAACGGCTTGGTGTCACACACTGTACACGGCTCGTTTTCACCGACAAAAACATCGTTCTAGCGCCGGTCTGAACCGCAGTTTAGACCGTCATCGTGTCACAATTGGCCGGGCCGGGGGTTAGAATTCAGCCGGCCCCGACCGACAGACCGTGCCACTGTCAAGGTTTGCCTCCGGCGGCGGGGCTGGCACCGTGCCACCCCCACCCCCATCCCCCTCGCGTGACCGACCCCTCCCCGAAGGTCACGTGATTCGCGTTGGCAGCGGGGACGCGCAGTCAACACGGTCCCTCGCGCAGCCTGCCTGGTGCGCGGAGCAGAGGCGGGTTGTTCCCAGATTGGCTTTGTGCCAAAGGGTGTCATTTGTCCGGTCATCAACTCTTCTGCTGATGCATATTTCTTCTGCCAGTCTTGAAAGAAAAAATATAAGGAGAGCATTCCGTAAGGTATCTTTTTAGAGAACGGGTGATTTTTTTAGATTATTTGTTGCATCAATGGATTTCACGAACATTATTTCATACTCAAGGCTGGTCATGCTCCTGCACAGACTGCAACATCACGCATTAAATCCTCCCCAGTCCACAGTGGGGATTTTTCCGATCTAGCACGTATTTATTCGTAGAGGGCAAACCATAGGTAGTATTGTAGCCAGATTGTGCACAGATGTTGGCTGGTGTGTTCTGGTGAGAGTGTTACCTGTAAATGTGCATAATCAACATAGTATAGGGGGGTCAATTGGACCCCCGGCTCAGCTGTTTGGCCCCTGATCAAGCTAGAGCTTCGCGGAAAAATCAAGCGTGCTGTCTATGACGAGATGAGGCCGAATATATCCAATTTCAAAGTCCAAGGTCATTAGTTGACTTTCCAAGTCAAGTCAATGGCCCAACTAAAGATGGAAAATCGAGACCTCTTGGAACTTCGTAAAGTTAGGATGTTACGGGATATTTTGGGGTGCTGATCACGAATTTCATGTTAGTTTTGATCACAGACGATGTCTTCATGCATTTAAGCCAGGTCGGGTCAGGTCAGGTCAGCCAGTAGACGTCCTGCCGGCCATCCATAATAGGTGTCACCTACTACTGACAGCTTCGTAACATGGTACGAAGGCACCAGAACTACTTCGTAAATATTCAAATGGTTGCTAAATTCGAAATCAACACCAAAAACTACCCTAGAAGCAAGTAAAACTCGAAAAAGTGAACCAAGGTCATCAAAGGTCAATGACCTTGACCTGACCTTCACGTGACCTTGACACCCACCAAAATGCATGGCACCAGCATCATTTCACATATTTGAACGTTTAAAACCACAAAAAGACTGGAAACCGCGGATAATGTGAGCTGGCATACGCCGAATCGCGATTCCGGCCAAACATGGTCTCGAGAAATATGCCACAGGTCAAAGGTCAGTTGGGTCAGAGTCATGAAATTTTTAGGTTAGATGTAAAATTGATGATCTCGAGGGCAACGAAAGTTTCGTCACGATCGGCTGCTTTTTGCGCGAGTGATTTGCGGAAAACCATGGGGTTTTATCCGACCCCTTCCCCCTCCCCCTCCCCACTAGTGCTAGGGTTAATAAGGTTGCGGTATGTATAATTTACGCCTGTGATCCTATTCCTCATGAACGTGTCTCAGAAAATATGCATCATATAAGTCAGGAAATAAAATTATTCGCCTATGTCTGGAACATACCTATATCGTGCTGTTTGCTCTAGCGCTCCTAGAGTGGGGTATTAAGATACTCTAATGCGAATATTCCGTGTTCAGGCAAGTTCCGGCAGCCAAACTAGGCGTTGTCTTGTGCAGGAGAAAGTGGCGAATTGGATAGGATATGTTTCGGAGTGGAAAAGTGTGGAAAACATTGTTGATTTCCTACATTTATCTAGAATACCATTCCTTCAATATGGTGTCTGTAAGGGTTTTTTGTAAATGGCATTTTTGTGACCTTAGTAAGGTTGTGGCATACTTTCTGTTTGCCATTCCATTCCTAATATAGGTGCCTTTCAGAAGATATGCAACTTTAAGAACTCGCAAGAATAAAACCAACAGGACAGGACAATGAAATTGAGCCATACTTTCGGTCCTTACTGAGCCCATTGAGTAATCACGCATGAGTGTGAACTTTGGGCGCATTTTTCCTAGTGTTGCTGTGGACATACAGATAAAACAATGCCATATATGAAAAATTCAGACATTTCTTAGCCCCACTGACACATAAAATAAACAAAAACCCAAAAAAGCTTTTTTGAATTAATACGCGCTAGATCGGAAAAATCCCCACTGTGCAGTCGGGCTGAATCTGACGACGACCGTGACGTGTTTTCTGGTTGGCACCGTGATGTGACAGAAGCCGTGACTTGATGCCTGATACGAGCGTGCCAGGTGCTACAGTTTATCACTAAGGTGGCGATGTGGCTGGACATGACTCATCCTGATATGCACTCTTTGGGTGAAATATGTGGCTAGGGCGTTGAAACAAGGGATAGTCCCGGACCATGAGCTGGGGCACAGCTAGGTCTCTTGTTGGCGCAGTGACAAGCATGGTGACGTGTTTTTCTGCCAGTTTGGGGATCTTATGGGGATTTGTCCCTAAGGATGAGTTTCAAAACATGTTTATGAGAGTGGAAGAGGAAAAGTGAAATACCGACGTTATTTACCTCACCATGAGCCATTATTTTTCATGTCAATGGCCAGCTTTTCAGTCTGGCTCTCATGCTGCAGAAGAGTCCATTTACATAGTCCTCTCCGTTCCAACCAGTTCACGATGTTAACCATATTCCTTCTTCACCCGGGGGGGGGGGGGGAGGGCGGTAGTTTCTTTTCACTGGCTCTTGTCACTGACTCTTACAATGCTTTTCTTACAATACAACCGACAAATCCTTCTAATTGCTGCCTCTCGCATACCCCAGTCTGTCACAGCCCCCTGTCGCCGACCAGGCACTGACCGTCTCCTCCTTCTGTTTCAGATTGCTCTTCGCGGGCCCTCACCGACCTCCACCATGCAGCTGGAGATCCAGGTGGCCCTCAACTTCGTCATCTCCTTCATGTACAACAAGCTGCCCCGGCGAAGAGTCAACATCTTCGCCGAGGAGCTCGAGCGGGCGCTGAGGTTCCGCTTCCAGAGTCACTGGTACCCTGACAGACCGTGTCGTGGTTCGGCGTACCGATGTCTCCGCACTGGCGATCCCCTAGACCCGGTACTGGATGTGGCTGCTCGAGAGAGTGGTTTGGCGCTCACCGAAATCCGTCAGAATCTTCCTGAGGATTTGTCTGTCTGGATTGACCCCGGTGAAGTCAGCTACAGGATTGGAGAGAAGGGCACGGTGAAGCTGCTCTACTCGGAGCCGGCTGGAGGCGCTGAGCGACTCACTGAAGAGCGGTGCGACCGAGAGGTGACATCCACCTTCAACCCGGAGGCGCAATGCTTCCGGCCGATCGACGCGCTCTCGGCTTCGCTCGGATCGCTCTCGATGAGCGCGGCTCCAACTGGCAGCCCGTTCGGAGCGCCGCCGGCCGCCGCATCGCCGGCTCCCTTCAAGTCAGCCTCTCCGGCTCCGTTCGCCCCGCAGCGCCCCCGAGCGCCGGTCACCTTCACCACAGCGGCGTTCGCGCAGACGAAGTTCGGCAGCACCAAGCTGAAGAGCAGCGGCAAACGCGGCAACCGCATGTCCCCTACAGAGTTCAGCAACTACATCAAGCAGCGAGCGATGCTGCAGCAGCCTGCCCTGCTGACGCCGTTCCCACAGCATGCGAGGCCGCTGTCGCCGGCAGCTCCTCCGCCCCCTCCGCAGCAGCAGCAGCCCCAGATGGAGTCCTTCTTCGCCTCCAAGATGGCCACAGCTCCTCCGGGAATGAACACAATGCTGGATGCCGTGGACGCGTTCTCGACACCCCCTCCGCGCGCACCGCCCGGCGGAGGCGCCATGCTGGCCGCGCTGACCCCAGAGAGTCAGCAGCTGCTGGAGAGCCTGACGTACGCCTCCAGTTCGCATCTTCAGCATCTTCTGGTGGCTAACTGAACACAGCTGCTGACTGTCCGAACACGCGTCCTACGGGACCGGCGGCAGACGTCGGCACGACGTAAGGTGACCGACATCAGACAACGCGAGTCGGGAACAGGTGACCGAAGGACATCGTGGTATCCTCTAGTCGTTCAAGCCACTGTGATCGTTCTCTTTCGTAGTTTGTAGCCGTTGCATTTTGTGATAGCGAAGCTCGCGGCGTGGCTGATCGGTTGACTTCACGACGCGAAATCCTCAGCGATCCTCAGCGATCCAGGGAGGTCCTTGCCGATCCCTGGATATCCTCGGCGCTCCTGGGTGTCGCTCTGCGGTCGTCTTGGGGTCTTTCGTGGAAAATGTCCCGGGGTGACTCTCGCTTGTCGGAGCGAGCGGCCGTGGCCCGTCGGTCGGGCCAGCTTGCCACGCGAGGATGGCGTGGGTTGGGCTCGCGGGCTCCGATCGATACGAGGTGGGAGGGCCCCGCGAGACCCGTCTCGACGTCGGAGCTCCGTGTTGGCTGCTACCAGGGCTGGGAAAATGGGACTCCTCGGACCTTGAGCTGTGTGTGGACACGAGAGGATGATCAGGAGTATGCATCTGGGTTGTGGGTTGGAGACATAATTCTAACTCATTCGTGAGTTAGACTTGTGTGGTGGTTTGGCTCATGAGCACGAGTCGTTGCGTTCTTTGTGGGCGCTCCGGCTTTCCGCCCCATCCTGTCGGTGAGAAGGTGAGACTTCTCATCTCTTTCATTACAAAGGAGCGCGGAAGACATCGACTTCGAGGAACAACGCGGAAATACCAGGGGTGACGCCCCGCCATTGTGAGTTGGCGTTCTCGAAACTCCAACCGTGTTAAATTTCATTGTTGAATGGCATTGCCAGCTGAGCAAAATCTGGAAGAATGTTGGTGTTGATTGTTAGAATAACTCGTTTATGGCAGCTACGCTTTGGCCTGAAATTCTGACTCCACTTGGGAAGACTAGTACGATTGATGTTGGTATGTTCGGAATGAAAGCTTTAAGAGATTCCCAGGACACTGACGAATTGAAGAGCGGCACAATGGGCCCTCTTAGCTCCGTATCCTAAAAAAAGAACTGGCGTAAGCGTAAAGACGAGGCACTTAGCCAGTCAAACTTCATACCTCTTTGGGCCAGTATCGGAGAGCGAGGAAAACCAGCTATCCGAGCAAGATTGCTAGTTAAATGGTACCTGAGCTTGTAGTTATACCTCCTGCTGGAACTTTCACCGACCGATCGCACCGGGCTTTAAGGAATCGTTGTCTGTTGTGTGGGCCGTGGGGCTTATGAAAGCGTGATGATAGCGCTTTGTTGTTAAAGGTAGAGTTTATGCTGAGGGAGAGTGATTTAGCTTAGAAAGTTGCTGGATTGTTGGCGTGAAAGATGTGATATATGTCAGTTGTTTTATGGGTGATAGTAGACACATTTACAGCTATGAGCATTGCTCGGGAGGGTGCAGTGATAATTTATAATCTGTGTGACTGTGGGTAAGAAAGGTAACCCGTATCAGGTATAAACTTTCACCTAATGTCGCATATATCGAGGCTCGGAAGCTGTGTTGGCTGTCAAGAAGTAGAAGCTCCTATAATTAAGCCTATCTGCGCTGGAAATGTCATGGTGATCTTCATCTACAAATTGGTCCCAGAACCCCTGGTAAATTCATTCAGCTGAGTACTCGTAACCCCGGTTCACTTTCGCCTTTATGCAGCTATCCACGGCGAAATCCGGAATCGAGCGACGCGGTGACATGGTACGTGCGACACAGGACGTGCCGCAGGGAGGGACGACGACACGTGGCCGAGGCGGCGGCACGTGGCACGTGGCACGGCGCGCGGCCTGCCTCCCCGGCAGCGCCAGCGCCGTGCCGACTATCTCAGGCGCCCCAACCCAAATCCTGAACGGTACAAATGTTCGCTCGGGACGGACGACCGAGCCGCCGCCTGGCAGGGCGCGAGAGAGGCTTTATTTTCGGCGGGTGGTGGACTGTTTCCCCTCTAGCAGGTGGGCTTGTAGCGCGTGAGCGGCGTGACCCCTCGTGGCCCCTCGAGGTGCCCACGGGCGTCGAAACCTCGGGCCAGCGCACGCCTCTCCCCACCGCCCGCCGTCGCCGTCGGCGCCGCTGCGCGGGGGGCTAGAAACGTCGACCGCCGGGCCGCTCGACCCTGTGACCGTCGGCGAACAAAAGAAGGTCATCTGGTAACACGGTGGAGGCTGCCAGATGGAGCCCACCACCGACTGACGATGGCTGGCGGCGGCGGCGGCGGCGGCGGCGGAGTGGTGAGGAAGTTTGTAAATACGAGCGCTGTTTGAAGCGGGGCACCTTCTCGGGGTCTCGGCCACGGCAGCGGCCACCGGCTGTTCGCGGCCGTCTGTTCGACGCGTTCATGTTACTGTGTGCTTGCCGGGCAGCGCTGTACGTTTGCTCTTATCACGTGTCGGATCCGACCGTCCGTCAGCCGATGTGACGCTTAAAACTCGAACCTCTGGCGGCTCGCGTGACAGGCTGGCTAACAGAAAGGCACGAAGCGGAAGGGAGGAGTCAGAAAAGACCCACGACCTTGAGACATGTCCACGTCTCGGTACCACCGAGACCTCTGTGCTCCCGGCTGCACCGTCAGCAGTTCATCGTGTTCGCGAGCTGCCGTCAACAGATCACGCTGTGCGCGAGCGCCGCGTTTGGGCCGTGTTCGATGTATATTCACCGACGTTTATAATAATCGGTCGCCGTCTCCGTTGTGCGCGTTTTCTAGCTGCTGCCGTCGCGGCGCAATGTCGGCCGTTGTGGTCGTAGTTCAGTGTGTTTGTACGTTTTTAGAGTATGTTCCGTGTTGGTCTGATCACCTGGCGCCATCTGTGCACTGTTCTCGGCAATACTATTCACCGATGTCGGCGATAGATGGCTCTGTGCGCTCGGCAGCCCACGGCGCCGGCCCTGGCTCAATTTTCTCCTCTGTCGCGGATGTGTCCGTTTCATCTGACACACATATGGCAGCATCTGGCAGCTCCTATGGTCACGACTAGGGTATGTTTGTGTGAGTTCTGCTCTCAGGCTTGTGTATCCATCCCCGTGTTATTTAGGATTCATGTATGATCAACGCCTACATTGTCTAAACTCTCGTGTGCATCGCACCACGACGGAATATTGAGCGTGCGCTAGCCGGTACAATGTTTCGCATTTTACTCTGCCGTCGCACATGGACTAAAATTGATAGAAGAGCACCGCGTTTCGCCTCACGCAGTTGTCAGGTCGCGTCAATGCACAGTGGTTGATCGATCCGTCGTTCACAGGGAATGCTAGCCCTGTCCGTCCGAGATTGCAAGTCTCTGAGTCTTTGGAGTCTGAGTCCCCGAGACGAGTCTCTGAGTCAACCGAGGACTTGATTCCGAGTCAACTGGGACCCGTTACCCACTGACTCGACTCAGCCTGTTCCCCTCCGGCAGTATCTGAGACTTGTCACGTGACCCACCGAGCACACAGCGAGCCATAAACTGGTAATTTGACGAGGCGAGATGTGGAGCTCTCTGCACGTGCCGTACCCGCTCCTCTATCTCTCTGACGCCGAGCATATAGCGTGTGAATTGAGTTCGGCAGATCGCGCTGTCTGTATTATACACATGACCTAGTACTAAGCCATACATATTATGTGTGTGAAACATATAGCCCTCTCTCTATTCACGGATAGACTATAATTTTCATACTATTGTACCATTTTTAAGTTTTTATTAAAATGTTTGTGGATTGAACGTGTTTTACTGGTGTGGCTGAGAAGGAACGGGGAAAGAAGGACGCTAGCTGGACTGAAGGACGAAAGAGCGACCAATATATAGACGATAATGCCTCACACAATTACAGCCATAATATCTAGAATATCTAGAGCAACGAATATGTAGATCTAATAATATCTAGAACAACGCCGAAGGAACTGTATTGCAACGCGAAATTTGCCAACGCTAGCATTATCTGCGGGCACTTATTAGTGGGGTTTGTAACACGGTATTTCATCAGGCTGAGAGCTGGCACCGAGCAACATACCTTAACGATTGAAATGACCGAACAAAAATAAGCCCGAGTAAGAAACCGGTACAGGTTACCAGGGCAAGGATGATGGATTTATCCGGCACCACACCCGACGCGCCACTAATGGATCGCACTGAACGAAACCTAATAATAACCTTCGGAGAACGGCGTGCGAAATAACGCTGAAATAGAGCAGATGTCATTGTGGTAAGGCCAGACGGAATATCCGTCTGGCTCAGAACTTGGGCACGACGCATGAGTGATGGTAGAACAAAAGGGCGTGGCGCTTGTGGCAGGGTAAAGTTAGTTGCCCGTTATACTTTTAGTTAGACTTTTAGTTAGCTACGTAGAAGTTTAGTTACAGGTTATAGTCTTTGTACACTCTAGAGTGATTGCGAAAGGGGCGGGATGAGGGCGGTGCCTAGCGGCCGTGTGAATCTGGGATCTGGGGTGGGGTCTTCTAGTCTTTGGGAGGGTCTAACGGCTGTGTGAGAATGCGCAAGATTATCATTAGTCTTGCAAAAGGTGGGACAGTAACAAAAGGGCAATTGGGTGGACCTAAGACGGTGAACGGCGAAGTAGGCTGGAATCTGTCAAGTCATGGGAATGAAGTATGTGTCTACTTTACTTTTATATCATTACTTTATATCTCCTTTTTACACATACCTTGTGCGAGCCATCACCGGGCTTTTAGCGCCTGAATTCACCAATTACAGGACCTCTTCACCTAGTATCTAATTTCCAGTGAACACAGCAGATTTCCAGCATCTGGCAGGCGCAGAGTGGCAGACGAGCCTTCAGTGTTGGTACAACGCTGGATTGAGAGCTTAATCCGATTACACGGGATTCCCAGGCCAACAACTCCAATTAGGAAATTAGCAGATGTGCCTGGAATCGTGAAATGTAATAAGCCAGACAGGGGAGGCTGTTCAAATCAAATTTGACCCTCATTTCTACCAGTTAGTTTTTGTTCTGTTTATTGCTACGGCCACGACACCGAATGTCAGGTGTCATCTTAAAACATGCAATATTATCGCTCGTTAGCTTTCAGGAGTATTGCAAGCAACACACGAACACGAAGTGCTAAGATGCATCTGAAATGCATTGGGTCAAACAACACTAAACGTCTTGAATGTGCTTTAACCCGCCAGTTGCTGGGGTATTTCGCCACCCACCGTTTGCTGGGGGGGGGGGGCGTTAAACGCCCCCAGCCGATACCTCGAGAACCAATAAGCACGCACGAGGCGGCAAACGAAAGAGCGCGACGAGACGCTTCAGATGAGTACTTTGAAGTTGAATTTTGAGGTCACAGGTCTCGGGTCAAGGTCAGGTCAAACACCTGAAATCGGGCTTTCAGTAGCATGGACTTCAGGGCTTCGCAATGGGCGCCTCTCATCATAAACTTTGTCAAAACGGTGCACAATGCTTCATATAAGGCCTACAAGAGAGTCAGTTCCATGTCGGGATCAGTCAAGCATAGGTCAGGTTCAAGGTCAGGTCAACCGGGTAGGCACATATCCCCGAAAATCAAAGCTGATATTCGCAGCCTGTGACACATGTATTAGGGGTAATTTTGGGCGTCGAACACGATGGTGACATTCATTTTGTCATATGTGTACGTGTTTGGTTCAAAAGGTTCAATATAAGAAATGCATGTATCATGGTCGTGAAGTAGTCACGAGAAATTGCCAACATTTAGTTCAAGATTTTGGAAAATGCGGAACGATAATCAATAATCGAAGATAGCCATTTGATTGTTCATTGTATTAGCAGTCTAATAGCGTTTACGGCATGTCTGTATGTCTTTTCTGTGATTTTATATGATTTTTTGAACATATGCCACTTTTGGTCGAAAACTCAGAAATCATGACGTCACTAAAACCTCGATATCTCAAAAAAATTTCGACCGATTTTTAAACTTTGTCACAATAAATTCAATCAATTCCCTACAGGTACCCAAATTTTGGCGCGCCTGCGGCGCGCCGTTTTTGTGCTATGGCCCGGCGAAAAAAGTGGGGGCGTTTAACGCCCCCCCCCCCCAACAACTCGCGGGTTAACGCTAGTTTGAGAGACATTGTAACAAATAGTAAAAAAAAAATCAGCTGATGATGGCGTAATGCAGAAAGCTACTCAAAAAGTTTTGTTTTCTTTGGAATCCAGAAATCAGTTTTAGGAATCATAAGAGTTAGGTTAATTTTTTATTATTAACGTTTGAGGTCTTTCGAGCCTGGGTGTTCCACTCAAGTGTCGGACATTTGCACTTGGTACCGATCTTGCAGCACAAGGCGCTCTGTATATTATCGTATGGCTTCTATCCCCAATAACTAGCTCTTACAGCAAGGTCAAAGGCTATCGCAAGGTAACTTTTAATTCACATAACTTCGCATGACATGTGTCCGATAAAAGCATAGCAATTTAAAGCACAAAAGTACTTATCTTGTTTGACTTCTTCAGTGCGATACGATGTGACTCAAAGTCTAGCGTCAGCTATCTAGGTGTTGGGGGGTGGGATTGGGGGAGGGGGGGTGCGTTCCGACACACACGCTACACAGCTGCACAGGTGTGATGGTTTATCGATTTCAATCGACCCGCCTGTACCAGTGAGGTGTTAGTGGGTTCGAGAGAGAGAGAGAGAGAGAGAGAGAGAGAGAGAGAGAGAGAGAGAGAGAGAGAGAGAGAGAGAGAGAGAGAGAGAGAGAGAGAGAGGGAGAGAGAGAGAGAGCTGCAGATGTTTGAAGAAAGGTTTTATGCTACAGCTTTGTTGTTACTGTACTGTTCTTGTAATAAAAAAATCGTTTATGCTAGGCATTCCGTTTTTTTTTTTACATTTCGTTTAGGCAGTGACGAGATCCTTACCTATTTAGGCATGACACAATATTGCAGTTAAGAATTAAGGCCTTATTATCGGTACCTGATTTGAACTTTTCGGCGAAATCATCATATACACAGTCCACACGTTATATTTTGATATCCAACATTCACAAGTGAAGTGGACGAATGTGATACATGCCGTGTTGGCATGCTGGATAAAGTATAACCGCATTTTCAGGCATGGCAACTCAAAAGGAATGTCCATTGTCCATATGTTGACATATTTTTGATCGGTATAATGCGATGGCAGTTCCATGTTCAGTCGGTCGGAAGCGAAATGACCAAGGACACTTACCTAATGGCACTTAGCTAATGTTTATACGATGGCCTCTTATCAATCCAACCCCTAACGTCTTTGTTTTAGTCAGCACACATGGGAATGAAAGTGCGATGCTTTCCTAAAGCACGCACACACAGAGTTCCATAAACGCAGTTTTTTTGATTCATTGAAGTGCGACATTGTATCGTTGTGAGTCTGATGGAAGTTCTTCAGTTCACCATACTTTCTTTTCAATAGTTTCAGCGCTATATTGCACATTCGATAGTAACTTCCCCCTAGCATTGAAATAAGTACCAAATGTACATGCATGAAGCAGCAAAGCTATAACTATGGGGAAACTTTGCGCTAGTTTTGTCCGCGATATTATAATTTCTTTGAGCGTTTAACACTTATATTTTAGTCGTGAGTATAGTTGTCAGGCTATAGTAACTATGTAGAGGCCATTTGAAATTATCAAAATGGAGCCTGCACTGTGAAAACACTGATGCGCATAGTTGCATAGTTGCACTATGCATATATTTCAAGTGCATCCAACATGGAGTATTTCACTGTGTGTTTAAATCTACATTTCACTATATGTTGTCACATGATGTCGGGCCCGGGCAATGCCAGATCGCAGTAACATTTCAAAGTCGGCCACACTCACAGAATCACTCTTTCCTGGAAACAACATGCCGCCAAAACGTATCACTGAGCACAAAACGATATCATTGATTACTGCCAAGCTACAGTGGATTTTCACTCGCTTCAGTGAGTCTGAGAAAGTGCCGGATCACTGGGCTAGCTACTGATGAGAGATGGGTTTTAGACGGCTGGGAGATCGCCATTTGTTGCTGACGGGACGGGTCTGTGGTCAGTGGCGATAGTCCAAATACGAGTACAGGTTGGATGAAATCGGTACCTCAGTGATAATCGTTGTGGATGGGTAAACACTTAACTTGGATTTTGGTATATTAATCAGGTATTTTGTAGTTCAATTTTAAACGTACGACATCAATATTTTCTTAACACAATTTCGTCTTCACGTAAAGCAATATAGACCGTTATACTTTACGGTATAACGGTCTATAGTAGTTACGGTCTACGTAGTTCCCGACGATGTGATGCGTGTTTCTCCAAACCTAGCCAAGCCTGCTCGGTCTGCTAAAAAAAAGCGGCAGCGGCCATCTACAACTACAATCGACCGTCAACATGCCCGTAACTCCCAACTGCCCCGCCTCCAAAGCGGCCTGGGACCCAAGTCCAAATAGTCGCTCCTCGCTGCCAAGTTTCGGTTGGAAACTTTTCCATCCGCCGTAGCGTTTATTACATGTGGAAGCCGCTCGCTGATATTTTTGCTGGTGCTCAGTGGAAACTTTGGAGGGATTTCAGAGTGTTTTGCGACAAGAAAAGACAGCTTGGGTTGGCATTGGTCTAATCACTTTATATGAGTTCTGTGTCGTGAAGTGTGATGTGGAATTTCCTTTTGTCTTGCATCCACAAATGGCTGTCATACAGACACAAATAGGGCTAATATTTTTCTCTGATTTTGAAGAAATAGGTAAATGGCCTTTTAGGTAAATAGGTAAAAAT